ATTTGTTGAACCATTTGCCAACGCGAAAGTCGGTTTTCGCTTAAGTCAAGCACGCTCGGTTCGGCGGGAGCGATAAGAGGGGTTCCGATCAAAAAATGACCGGGAGTTAGAGCGTGATAATCGTCAAGATTATCGGAAACGGGCGCGATCGGACGTGAATTAAGGCACGCTTCAATTCGACATAGGAGCGTAGACATCTCCTCGAAAGTTAGCGTGTGGAGGCCGATGCATCGTTTTAAATGATGCTTAACTATGGTTATGGTCTAGACGTTAACACTTTTAACGCCGGCTTCCCACAGACCACCGAAGTGCGGCGAAGCGGGAGGTAGGAAGTGCCACACAGTTCCGTCGGAAGCGAGTCGGCTACGGAAATTAGGATCGCGTATGGCAGCGGCATGTGCGCTCGAAAGTTCGCGATCGGCGCCGTGAAATGTGGTTCCGTTGTCCGAATACATGGACGTCGGTAATCCTCGCCGAGAAACGAAGCGTTGATACGCTGCGATAAAAGTAGAAGAGGTATAATCGCTTACAAGCTCTAAATGCAGAGCTTTGGTTGTGAGGCATACGAATAACGCGATATACGCCTTTTGCGACTTATGACCTCGACCGGGCGCCGTGCGGACAGCGATCGGACCTGCATAATCGACGCCGGTATGAATAAAGGCGCGAACGGTGCGGTTGACTCTTACAGCCGGGAGGTCACCCATGAGTTCGACGGGCACGGCGGCGCGTTCACGCGTACATTGTTGGCATTTGTAAAGAACGGATCGAACGGTGGCGCGAGCTCGGAGAATCCAAAATTCGTTTCGCAATGACGCGAGCGTTAATTGCGAACCGGCATGCAACGTTCTCAGATGATGATGCTGGATAATGAGTACCAACAGCGGATGCGCGTGTAATACGATTGGATTCTTCGTCGCTCCTGGGAGGTAAGCTCGACGGAGTCTTCCTCGAATTCGAATGAGTCCGTCCTCGTTCATATAAGGATTGAGATTAGAGAGCGGGCTGCTTTTCGACACCGCGCGGTTTTGATTCAGAGCAACGATTTCGTTAGAAAATAAGTCTGACTGCATAATTTTGAGTCAGTAACGTTTGGCGTTCTGAATTTCTTCGGAGATAAAAATCGCGGTATCCGATTGCGGGTTTTTTGAGCGTCGAACTCGATTTAGACACCGGTATAGGTAAGCGATAATTCGGAGTAATTTTGGCCACGACGAATAACGCGACGCGAGATCCCAATCGGGCGTCGTATGCGATGCACATCCCGGAGGCTCCGGGCGTTGTTCGAGAGGAATCTCGGCGGGTAACAACGGGCACGAGTTCGGCCAGGATTCGGGAGGGTGGTGTAGCCATGGAGGGCCTGACCACCATAAGGCATGCGTTTCGAGACAATTGGGAGCGAGGCCGCGCGAGGCGCAGTCCGCGGGATTGGTGAGCGTGGGAACATGACGCCAAGAAACTCCCGGGAGGAGTGATTGCACAGCCGAAACTCGATTGGCGACAAAGGTTTTCCATCGGGCAGGCGATTGACTCAGCCATGCGAGTGTGATGGTAGAGTCCGTCCAGCAGTGGCACTCGAGCTTGGGGAGTTGAAGCGCTGAGCGTGCGAAATGCATTAAATGCGCGAGAAGCACAGCGGCGGATAATTCCAAGCGCGGGACGCTTATCGTTTTAAGCGGGGCCACTTTCGATTTGGCGACGAGAAGCGAGACAGTAATTGAGCCGTCGACATTGACGGTACGAAGATACACTGCAGCCGCGAAAGCTGCAGTCGAAGCGTCGGAAAATCCATGAAGGGCGCACTTTAGCGTGTGAGATCCGTAAGTCGTCCAGCGAGGAATGCTAATGTCGTTGAGACACGGAAGTCGGTTATGATAGTCTAACCAGTAATCGAAATGTTGGCTGGGAATTTCGTCATCCCAATAGCATTTAAGTGACCACAATCGCTGCATAAAAACTTTTGCGGTAATAATGACGGGAGTCGCCCATCCTAAAGGATCGAAAAACTTCGCAATAGTCGAAAGAATGGCTCGTTTGGTTCGGCCGGGTGAAGCCGGCACGGTAACGCGGAATTGAAAAATGTCTAGCTTCGGATTCCAGAGGATTCCTAAGACTTTGAGGTGGTCGTCGTCTTGAAGAACCTTGTGAGTAACTAATCCGTGATCCGCGGAATCGAGATCAGACAATAAAGCGGAGGCGTTGCTTGCCCATTTTCGAAGGCGAAAGCCTTCTTTCTTTAACAATTCGACTAATTGATCGCGGGTTTGACGAGCGAGAATCTGGTCGTCTGCGCCGAAAGCGCAATCATCAACATACGTCTGATGACGTAAAACGGGAACAGCTAGTGGAAAGTCAGCACCGTCATCTTCGACGAGCTGATCTAAAACCCGAAGAGCTAAATATGGAGCGGCGGCAGTACCGTAGGTGACGGTGAGAAGGCGGTAATCTGAGATTGGTTCGTCAGGAGTAGGTTGCCAAACAATGCGCTGGTAGTCGGTATCTTGGGGGTTAACTAAGATTTGCCGATACATTTTGGCGATATCGGCGGTAAACACGTAACGATATTGGCGCCACTGCATTACGACCGTGGCCAAATCCCGTTGAAGCTTAGGGCCTATGAGCATATGGTCATTCAATGACGTTCCGTTTGACGTGCGGCACGACGCGTTGAAGACTACTCGTAAGCGGGTGGTCGTACTGCTATCGCGTAATACTGCGTGATGCGGAATGTAATAGGCTTGCTCTGGTTTGATAATTTCTGTTGGTGGTCTTTTGGTCATATGACCGAGGGTTTCGTACTCTGCGAGAAATTCGCGGTACTCGGAAGCGATAATTGGGTTTCGATTTAAGCGTTGTTCCAAGCGGCGAAAGCTTGAAACGGCAATAGAGCGCGATTCGCCTATCGAGATTGGTGGCCCGTTCTTAAACGGTAATCAAACGATATACCGTCCTTCCGGCGTACGAGAATGCGTGGCTTTGAAGTGCTCTTCGCACTGGTGATCCTCAGGGCTTCGAGCAGCTTTCTGAGGCACTTCCTCAATTTCCCAGAAGCGACGAAGATCGCAATCGAGAGTCTCGATGACGACTCCATGATGCGCAAGAGCGGAAACTGAGCCAGTATTCGGTGACGAGGCTATTGGCCCGGACAGAATCCAGCCTAGAGTGGTATTTTGCGCAATAGGCTCATGTTCTGAGCCTTTTCGGATACCATCGAGAACTAGCATGCCGAACAGATCGGCACCGATAATGATGTCGATTGGATCCGAACTCATGGGGTCACGATCGGCAAGTTCGAGTCCCGCGACGTGTTTCCAATTGTGCGCGGTATCGACTCGATTCGGTAAATATTTCGTTAATGACCGAAGTATTAATGCGGTCGTGATATAGGCAGGTCCGTCGCGACACGCCGGAGTAATCGTAATTTGGGCCGCGTGACGCACGATAGATCGCATTTCGCTAATGCCGGTAAGTGAGACGGAGCGATTAATTCTTGTAAGGCATAAGCATTGAGCAAGCGATTCAGAGATGATCGCAGAGACGGATCCCTGATCAAGGAGCGCGCGAACGGTGACGAAACGTTTATGAGGCGAATAAACTCGCACGCGCGCTGTCGCGAGTAAGATTTTGGAGCTCGGTGCTACGGTTTTCGACAATAAATGTGTAGCTACGGCGGTGACGCTCTCGCTACTCGTGGGTGTGGACGTCGACGGTGACTTAGCGTCGACTGGTTGAGCGGAATGATCGAAATGCAGCAATGTGTGATGCCGTTTGCTACACTGTCGACACGCGCGAGTACTCGTACACTCTTTGACGGAATGTTTCGCACTGAAACAATTGACACAGCGTTTTTGATTTTTAATAAATTCAAAGCGTTGGGATGGAGTTTGCTTTAGGAACGTAGAGCATTGATATAGTAGATGGTTCGCTTTGCATAATGCGCATGAGAACGGAACGGTAGATGCGGTGTGTAATGCAAGAGTTTTCTTTTTGGAGGTCGTCGTTGTCTTCTCCGGTGCGTTCGCGGGTGTAATCGCGTCGAGAGCGCGAATACGCGATGCAAGAAATTGTTCAAGTTCGCGATAACGCGGGTATTCTACTGTATCGCCGAGTTTAAGTTCCCAAGCTTTTCGCGATGACTTGTCGAGTTTTTGTGACACGAGAAAAACAAGCCAATCGCCTTATTGGTTTGATCACGGAGCGTGCGAAGATCTTTGGAGGTTTCTGTCGCGAGTGACGGTAAATTGAAGAGCGATTGTAAATGTGTAGTGATAAGCCGACGTTTATTGTCGTATCGAGAAACGAGAATATTCCACGCGATACCGAAATTGTCATTAGTTACCACGAGGTGGTCTAAGGCGTTACTTGCATCCCCCTTTACACAAGATCACAAATAATGCATGCGCTCGACATTCGTTAAACTTTGATCGTCGTGGATCATTGATTTAAATTTATCGCGAAAGCTTTCCCACATGTCAAAATTCCCGTCGAAGGTAGGCAAGTTGATCCTTGGAAGATGCGACGATGACCGGAACGAACTATTAAGGTCACTTACGTCATGTGCAGCGGGAGAGGAGTTGCTGACCTCGTGACATTCCAATACCTCAGCCATGTAGTCGGAAGTTTCATGGTAATATTCTTCACACTTCAGGAAGTGGTTCTGGGTGAAGTACGCATGGATTGTCGTTATCTTCTCGTCCGCAGCAAGCGTTATCCTGCAGTCCAGCTCCTTGCATCTGGCGTATGTCTCCTTGAGGGTTGCGAGGCGTTGTCGCGTTACGGCACGTGTCATCTTGGTCTGTCCCAGCTTCTTAAAGTTAATAAATGTGCGAGAGATGACACCCATCTCCATGTTCTGTAGACTCATCAGTTCGTCGAAAGACGACATAATTTCCAATGAAAAGGCACAACTCAGAACTTTCGAGAATCAAGTACAAACAACAACTTTCCTTGGGGACGAATCCGGCTCGAAGGACCAAATTTGTTTGTGTTTGTGACGCGCTGGTGTCACCTTGT